CTGACCATATTATACCGTTTTTTTTTTCGGGTTATCTTACTTTTCAACACTTCTTTCAACGGTTTGGCAACTTTTAAATTGGCTACTTTCATTATTATTGTCATTATATTGTTCATATTTATTTTATTTATAAGTTTAAAATAAATTGTTTAATATATTTTTTTGAATATATGATAATATTACACATATTTATTTAATACACAAGTATCAGAAGCTTTGTTAAATTAAATCTTGTAGTCTAAAATAATAATGGAAATGTATATTGATTTTTCCTGCTTAAAAAAATTTAAAAATGTCACGTTCTTTGTTAGTAGAACAATTATGGATCAAAAAACTTGCGATAGAGGATTTTTATATCTAGTTTTATTATCATAACGCGAGGACTGCCGGTAGCAAAAATAATATCTCGCCAATTCCACAAGTCTGACTAGTGACCTTCTTGTACTACTGAAATTCACATCAAATTAATCCTATCACTAAGCGCGCAACAAAATCATGCTAGTCTAATCATTCAATCTAAATAAGTTCTTATTTTATTCACTGTACAATCTTTTTGCAAATATATAGACAGCTTTCCTCGCTCGTAAAATGTCGAGCTGCGGATCCCATTATTATCTCCGCCATTCAAAGTCACTCGGCTCTCAGCGACAATATAATTACAACGTCCCACGCGACTACGTAGGTGTGTAATTAACCTACAACTGACAACACTGTTCTCGTAAAATGAAAGAAATTTAAATACCAATAGCCCAAAGTAAGATTTGATCTTGGAAAAACACATGGAACAATACTCAACAAGAATGCCAGATGCACATTAAAAACCTTCATTAGAACAATTCTATAGTAGAATCGTTATTTTATTTTTTTTTGCTTGATTCTTTCTTGCTCTTTTATTGCTGCAGCCTAACTTTAGAACATGTAATGTGTTTTAGAGTGTTATTAGTGATAATCATAAATAGTGATCATAAATAATAAAAAATGTAAAAGTTAAAATTTTTGCACACTATATAAACGCTTATTATATTCCTCGGCGTCTGTATTTGCAGAGAACAGTCGGCGAATTAACTTACGGATCAGCCGTACAAAACAATAATCAATATATTAGTGCAAGAATTAATTAACGCTGACAGAGAAATTACAATCTCCCATTGTCATCACAAAATGTATTATGATTAATCATAGTTATTAATTCAGTCAGAATTAATTATTGTTCATTTCAATGAATTGTAAAGTGCGAAATAGGATGCTCTCTTATCCGCTTTTAATCTGTGATATAAATACCGCTATAGACATTTCTTTTATCTTCAAATGAACTGCATACTATATGTGCATATTATCTGCAGATATCGCATATTTGTTTTGTAAGAATTATTTTTAAAGTTAAGCACACACTGCGATATGTACTGCATCATAATTTTAAAAGTTATCACGATATTGGTTACCACTATTAGGTTTAGTAAAAAATTTTCCTTCACAATTTTGTAATTATTATTCAAATCGATAAAAAGTTTCCTACTTTTAATTTTATAATGCAAACAATATATGTGTCATGACACTATTGATAAATAATATTTCTCAAAGCAATAATAAATCAATATTTTAAAATGTAAGACATTTTAAACACAAAAAATTGATGCAGTTTTATAATCGTGAAATTCTATAATTGTAATGTTTCTTGTTAATTTTCTAGCAGTGTTTATCCCTATAATTTCTATTACATACATATTTTATGTATAACAATTTAATTTTTATTTTGTTATCCTCCTGACATCCAAATTGTAAAAAAGTCTATAAAAAACTTTAACAATTTTACCAAAATATTTATTTCAAAAAAGTGAGCTTTCCAAAGAACGGCAAACAGAGCACGGTAGTTTTGAAATGAAATCTATTCTATTTCTATTTCTAAGGCGCGCATAAAAGGGGTCGACGCGATATTATTCGCAGTCATCGATTCCTCTCACCGATGCCGAGAAAATGAGAAATTGAAAGGATGGGTCAATGATATGCATTTCTGTCGCGTGGTTTCGACAGGAACTATTTTCTAGTTTCCTCCTTTCTTTTTTGAATTTTTGTTTTGCACTAGATTAATAAATGCACAAAATATAGATATTATGTGTATATAAAATTTTTTTTAATTAAATAAAATAATTTGTAACCTCAGAAAAATTTTCCTTGGATTTAGAAATTGATAGATTATGTTACTGATATGTGTAACATTTAATGAAACGTAGTTAAAACGTAATTAAAATATTTTTCATAACCGTAAGCATTTTGGAATCAGGGTCGTTCGTAATATGCTATATTCAATATAAATATATTCATAGAATTAATATTATAAATGCAATATTGAAAATAACAATGCATGATAAAGTTGCACGGTTGATTTAATTATTCACTCTAAAAATCTATTCTTAGAAATATTAAGCTTGTGCAATCATATTCATGAATTTTAATAAGTTATGTAATGTTTTTCATGGAATAACTTAATCCCAAGCTATTAAAATTTTTTTTTCTTATATTTTACATATAAAATTAGCCAGTATATTAATAAATATAATGTGATATTTATAAGTCGTCTATAAAAAATTTATGAACATTATTTCTAATATATATTTTCCTAATAGCGTTTGTGATTAATATATAATTGTGCACATATGACATAGCTTTATATTCTTTGGTAACAATAAAGACTATAACAAAATTACAATGAGAAAATTTTGTGTGATTACACAAATGTATTCACTCACCGATCGTTGTACCCTAAGCACGCCTTTAGCTCTACCTGAACAAATTAATATATATTTATTAAAAATTATCATTTACATTAACATTTATTTCATGCATGTAGATTGCCACACATTATTTAATTATATCTATTTTTACTAAAACATAGCGGTATCATAAATTGCACAAACAGATATAATAAAAAAATAATTATACTCACCAGCTAGAATATTGCAGTTTATTTCACTCCGCAACTTCGCAGACTCCGCATTAGAATTGTTCCGTCGAGTTTCAATGAAGAATCCAACGAAGATCAAATATACGAAATCCACACTTATTTATGTGTATTATCGGTTGAAAGGTAATTCATACATATTACTTTTGAAAGAACACAAATATTACACACGAAATCACACCGCGAATGTACCACGCCGCGGGACACGAAACGCGATCGCGATATAAAATTGTACTTTTTGTCGCGACACCGATGCACGTTCAACGATGTACTCGGCACTACATAAATACTACATAACATCTCGAGCGAACGAATAAGCGATGACGATGTTTACTGTCGCACGTAGGTCAGCACATACGGAAACACACACAATATGTTTACTAAGAACGACCTTTTTACTAAGAATAATTTCAACAAGTTTCAATATGTTACAAAAATAAACGAAAAATACTCTTAGCGTTTCGCACACAGAATCTGTACTTACTAGAATTTTGCGTCTACGGCCGTTAGACAATCGAATCGTTAATTTCCGCGATAACAATATCTTCCGGCAATCGCCCATCGCTCTGACACTCCCGATTAGAAACTAAATTCGCGCTAATTACGCACTTAAACGGATAAAATACGCGATTAATCACGGACCGTTTTCACTTACCGTTGCAAACCGACGCGACGTAGAACAAAATGGCAGAAGGTACGCGGAAAATTACGCGGGAAGTTACGCGAATAAAGTTGTCTGCATATCGATATCGATAAATTTGATACCATGCCTGCCACCCTTTGGCCACCACAATAGTTCACTCCGCGTTTCCAGCGACGCGACATAGTGAACTATTGTGGCGGCCGAAGGGAGGCGCGCGCGTAGCATGGTATTGATATAAATCATCGATACATCTTATAAACATTATCTCCTACCTCTTACCCTTTCCCGGCCGCCATAATTGTTTTTTCTAAACGACAGTTCGAGATACGGAGCGAATGTTCTGCGATCAATTGCGTATTTTACCTGTTAAAAATGTATAATGAGTGCGAATTGTGGTCGGGAGTGCCGATTAAAGTGACGGGCGATGATCGGAGCGTATTTGCCGCGGATGTTTTGTAATTTACAATGATTCGGCGTTCGCTTGGTGGCTGGACCATGAATGCGCGGTTTCAGTGAGTAAAAATTTCTGGCGCTGGCATTGTACTTTTTACTTGTATATTGACGACCAGAAATGCTTTAATACTAAAAACTGTATTAATCTTAGGCCACTCAAGGCAAGCACATTCTATCGAGACATTCATTATGATTGTTGGTAAAAAATTTCGAACTACATTTTTAATGATTAATTTGTTATAAAATTTTGACTATTAGTCATAATGCATGAATATCTAGACACAATGCGCATATCGAGTCGTTCAAAATTGATGCAACTTCATATGTTAAGACATTTTGATTGCCTACGTACATGTAGCGCGCTAAATATTCAGTTAATCGGAATTATTTCAGGTAAAACATGTGTTGTGTGCGTGACGACTTCCGTATGATCGTCGAATACTCGTTGCTCATCTCGCTTGTTTGGAGTTGTGTATAGTATCGAAAAGGTCGTCGAAAACAAGATAATAATCGGATAATACTGTGCGGACGCGATATGAAGTACATTTTAACTCAAGTTTGTTTTATGTATCGTAGCAAGTTGAAAATATCAATCCGTCTGTGATTTTCGTGTTGTTTTGAAAGTGAAGTACGCAAGAATTCTCAGTATTCATTGATTCTTGAGAGAACCGGTGATTGCTCCTTGTAGAGCAATCTAAGGCGGAATTTGCAGCGAGTAGAATAAACTGCAATACCCTAGCTGGTGAGGACAATTTATATTTTAGTTAGATAGATAAATAATTGTAATTACATATACATACATATAACTACATTTATATATTAAATATTTGAAAATAATTTTTAAACAGTTTGTTAAAACATTTATTGAACATTTATTAAAATTATTAAATAATTCATAATAATTAACATATATATATATAAAATACATTATTATTAAAATATTGATATACTAATTTATATATTTATTTCTAGGTACAGCTCTCTAAAGGCGTACTTGGCTAGGGTACGACGATCGGTGAGTGAATGCATTCATTATATTTGCGTTTATATTATACAAAATTTTCTCAATTCTGCTATGCTCTACAATTATCTAAACACTCTCTAACGATTTAATAACCTTAATGAATAACATACTTAATTGAAAATAGCTATATCATCACGTTGGCTATTTACAGAAATTGGCATATTGATGTCAGTCAAAAATAGAGTAACTATTCAGGTTGAAATTAAATTATTATGAAGCACAATGATGCACAATAATTAGATGCGTAATTATCATTTCGCCACTTTCCGTTCTTTGACAATTTTGATCAGCAAATTGCCTAATCATTTTTTTGGTGTTTTTTGATATATTTTGTGAACAAAGTTATTTCGATTAAATTGGACTTGACTTGAAAGTAATTTAAGAAATTTTATCAAATAATTATTTAAAATAGCGAATATCAAAGATATTTTATAATAAATGATAAAAGTTAATTCAAGCAAATATTTTTAAATCAGCTAATTGAGTCAATTTTGTTTTATTAGATTAATAAATTCACAAATTAGAGATGCTATATATATGCATCTCTTTTTGCAATAAAATAATTTTTAATTTTGAGTTTATCTTAAGTTTAGAAATTAATAGAGAGAGAGAGAGAGAGAGACAAGAGATTATGATATAATGTGTAACATTAAATTAAATGTAATTACAATGCTAATTTTTATGACTGTAGGCATTTTAAAAATTGGTTTGTAATGCTAAATTTAGTATGAATATATGCACAGAAATGACATTAAAAATATAGTATGAAAAATAATGATCCATATCTATTATAATATATCTATTATAATATATATCGAAAGAAATATTGATTATATCATATCTAAAGATACTAAACTTGTGCAATTGCACCATCTTCGTGAATTTTTTTATGAATTACACAACGTATACGTCTCATAGTATGATTTATATATATAATCGCAACACTTTTACTTCATACTTTCATTTACAATTAGCCAGTGTATAATATAATACGTAGAATATTTTTAAAGAATTCTGAAATAAATTTTCTTGAATAAACTCTTCTATTTTCAATCTGTTTATTTAAAATATATTGACATTTTGATATTTTCTAATAATAATTATTTTTTACTGAAAAAAGTGAATTACAAATCACGACAGTCTCCGGATAATATATCACAGTTCGAGAACGATCAAGATATATCAAGCGAGAAACCAAATTATTTGTTCAGTTTCTTCTGCCCTTCCAACTGCTACCTGAAAAAAAAAAAGAAAATGAGCAACATAAAACGGGGTCAGATGAAAGGCTCACGCTGAGAGCTGAAATGGAAAATATATCTGCTCGGACTGAATAAGATTGAGAAAAGAGAATGCTAAATTATAGGCAGCAGAGGATTCGGTCTAATGTATATACTGTACAGAGGAATAAACAGCAGAGGACGTGTTTAAAGATGATTTAGAGTGTGTATATATCAAATAAAGATAACATTAGTAATTCTTTTGAACTTTGTATTTTTAACATTAATGGGATTTTTCGATCAACGAGAATAAATTTCTGTGACCACGACTCATTGGTTCTGTGCACTGTACGTGCGTTGTGAGATCGACAGCTGAAAGAACGGCACTTGCTTTATTTTGAACTGGGACAATACATGAGCCGAGTGCTTTATGGATCATACTGCATTGATAAAGGCACGGTAACAAATGTGTATCACTTATACTAGATGGAGGGACAGATAAGTTCTACGTTTTAAAAATAGACTAATACTTAAATATCACACCACGATATTGTATTTGACATTTTTAATGTTTTATTACACAAAGAAAACATTTTGTGCAATATACGCATGAGAGTTTAATGGTTGCGATGCAACAGGTACATGACGATGCATGACATCGCGCTTTATAGACAAACACATTTATTTTTATGCACTACATTATGCTTAATATAATAATAAGATGATTACTCGATTTCATATTCGGCACTGTCAATTGTAAGTGAAAAATGCTTAATAAATATGAATTGAAAAATTAAATCTTTCAGAATTACAAGTAATTTTCAGTATTGATAACACAAGTAATTTGGTTGCTTTTGCTTATCGCGTGCAATATAAAAACAAATAAATATTTACTCATTATTATTTTAGTATAAAAATTTCCTATCTTTCTATTTCCACACGCTTTACAATAAAGATTTATCAGCTCTCGAGTTACAACTGGCAACAGAAATAAATAGAAGGAGATAAGATCAATGAATATCAACAAATATCTCACAAGCACTAAAAGTTGAAGACAATAAAATCAAAATCATTCAATTTCAAAATTTTGTTTACGTTATTGTCTACAAATTTTGGACAATATACACTACCCCACAAAAAATAGGTACTTTTCGGACACTCAAAATTGAGCAATTTTCAAACCTTTGAAACTCGGTGAAAAATCATGACGAAAAATTGATAAAGCATTTTAAAATTTGAAGTTTGTAATTCACGTCCTTTAGACTGTTCTTTGAAAATTTTTTATCTTTACACTTTTAAAAAAGAACATTTACCTTACTTAAAAAAACATACTGTTTTATTCTTAAAATTACGTGCATACGTTTAATACTCTGCAGCTTGATAAAAAAAATTTTTTTACAAATTTTATAAGCATCAAAAACTACAATATTTTATCTACAAAATACTATTTTTTTTTATTTTTTTGTCACAATTTTTTTTTTTTGATCGAGTTATACACGACTTTGAAGCTAAATCTGCATATTTTACACTAATGATACTGCCAACAGTAAACGTTATTTTTCACAAAATATAATATAACGTATTTTTTAATTGGTATTATTAGACTACAGTATATACATAAGACCGAAATTTCAAATTTATGGTTAAAGAAGCCACAATAGTATAGACAAAAGAAGCGCAAAGAAATCGGAAGGCTGAAACGAGTAACGTTTCCCGTTCACGAGAGCCGCGTTGTTCTCGACGATAGAACCTATTGCAAAGGCAATTCGGTGCATTCATGGTCGCTTCCACTACTAGTTAACTGTAACATTCGTACGAGGGAATACGTTGTTAAACCCGGACCACATCTGCACGAACATTCAGTCCGCACACGAAACTTTTCGCATACCGACCGATCAAGCCCACGAACTGCGTAATTCAATTGAAACTGCAGCCGCGATCGAATTGTAGTTTCATAGTCGGTTGTTATTGATTAAAAAATTAAAAGAGGGAAGAAAAGAAATAAGAATGAAGAATGTAACAAAAATTGTAATAATAAACTCGCGATTCCCGTATCACTCTCACAAGAGATGAAAAAACTTGGTTCATTTCTAATAAGCAAACTGACATTTTTATGTTGGACTGACATTTTGCGGCAAAAGATATTTTCATTCTTCTTTATAACGCACATTACTGCGAGAGCAACGAAAGATCAAACGAGAAATGTTTTAATCAAACTATAATATAAAATTTATTTTTTTATCTAAACTGAAATTTATTAATCTCTCTTGATCATCAGATACGATTTTTATCGCTAATAGATGCAGAGCCGTATGAAAGAAAAAAATCGTAGAGTTCCATCAGAACGTGACATATGTTTCTCGTATGTTTTTTGTCTCAGTTACAAATCATGTAAAATTCAGATACGCAGAAAAAAGAAGTATATCACAACGCAGATGCGATGTGATCACTTAAAAAGAAATTGTATTAAGGTGCCTCAGAAATTTATACCCCCTCTCAAGCATTAAAAATTAAAAACTTTAAACCACATATAATGGAAGGCTCCAAATGTTTTAACAAACGATAAATAATGAAAATGGCGATAAGAGCCGTTGCAGGATGTTCGTGCTAAATTTTTAATTTTTCTTAAAGAAATTAGTAAATTAGTCTACAAGAGACAGTTAAAATGTACACCGATCTCAATTCGAGATACTTAAAGTGTACGAAAATTTTAAAGTACATAGTTCTCATATATCGAGAAACTTTAATGTACGTATAGGAATTATTGTAAAGAAAGGAAGAGAGAAAAAATATCAGGGCGCGAGTGGCTAAGCCGGGAATTGAACCCGGGTCTTTCGCTTGCCGGGCGAATGTTCTGACCATTAAACTACTCAGACCCCAGCTTCTAACTTTTATCTCTCC